CCAAACAGGTAATGACAACCAGAGCATGTTTCTTCCAGGCAGGAGTAGTTCAGCCCTCTGCCTACAGAATGATGTGCTGTAGGGATCCAAGCAGCCCAGCATGGCAACACAGCTCTTCTGTGCTACTGGGTTTGGAGGGTTTTCCTCTTGCCCACTGTGGCTGGGGGCAGCTCTGTAACTGGTTTTGTTACTTCAGCCAAACCCTTGTGGCCTGTTTGTCCTGCTGACACACAGCCTGCAGCAGGAGAGGCAGAGCTGGCAGCAGTATCATAGCGTTGCAGAGTGAGAGACTGATGGAAAATCCCATCTGGTTTCATTTTGGGAAGCTGGAAGGAGATGAAGGTGGCAGGAAACGTTGTCTAGCATGTGTGCAGGCAACAGATTGCATTAGCTTGAGCTTGGAAACACACTCTCCCTCACAGCTGTTTGGTGTTTGTTGCTACAGGAATGGGGGGAGAGGGGGGAAATCTCTAGCAGGGAAGGGTGTTGCACGCAAAGGTGTATGGCTGAGAGCTTGTTTCTTTGTTTTCCAGTACCCATAGTCCTGAAGTACCATACCTGACCAGACATCTGGAGGCTTTGGTGGAGCTGGCTGTGGGATAACCAAACTGCTGTGTAATTTAAGTGAGATATCTGTATGTAGCTTTGAAGTTGTTTTTCTCCAAGGAGTGAGGAGGCAGCGGCAAGTAGCCTGTTCTAACAGTGCTGCCAAATTACCCTTTTTTGGTTGAGTACCTGCTCCTGCTGTCAGATTTATTTTTCTTTTATATATAACAGAAGATTCAGTTCCCAAACTGCCCATTTTGTGGAATTCTGGGTCTCTGGTTTGGGACTGGCTACTTGCCACTACAGTCTATCTGTATATATGGTTGAGTTGTAATATTAATAATAATAATACCATTTGAGCAGTTCCCTGCTGCCTGCTGTGGAAGGCAAAGGGGACTGTCCCTTCACTGGAGCAAAGGAGGGTTAAAAAGGTCTGAAGAGAAACATACCATTATGTTACAGGGAACTGATCCTTCTGTGGAGAACTGCAAGGGTGTTTTTTCTCTGTTGTTAAAAAAAGGGGGGGGGGAGGGGGGAAATTAATAGGTTTTACAATCCAGAAGACTTTCTGATCCTGCCATGGGAATGCACAAGTTCAGTGTTTTCAGTATTGCTGCTTACAGCTGTGACTAAAGACATTCCAGTAAACCTATTTTTGACTGTATATATGGAGTTCTTGCATATCTTCATAAAGTTCTGGAGGACATTCAGGGCTCTTCTCTGCCAGAAGTCCTGAGGAAAGGTCTGTTTCAGTGTTTCCTTAACCAAAAGCGAGAAGAGTGTGTAAAGCCCAGTTTTGTACCAGCTCGATGGTAAAAAAAGACTCAACAGGAGGACAGCAACTCTCCTGAAACTAGTCCATAGTGTACAAGCCCACATCATATTCAGAGCCCTTCACCTTAATGTGGTGGTTCTGAATGTCAGCCCGTTTTCTTTCCCTGTGATCTGGTGGGGTGGGGGTTGTTCCCAGACACATGTGCTGGTGTGCTTGGAGAGATGTAGGGGTCTCTGTTCTGAACTAAGTGGGAGCTGAGCTCCTCCATCCATGGGTGGTACTGCTGTGTTTGGGCTGTTTCCAACCTTTGTCTCGGGTGTCAGTGGCATTTTCCTTTGCCCTTTATTTTCAGACCCTTGTTCCTGAGCTGAGGTCAGGCTCTCCTGGTTCTCTTTTTGTTGTCCCTTTTCTGAAGAGAGAAGCATTGTCCTGCTTAGTGTATGCCTGAAGTAATGCTGGAGAGGGGAAATGGTGCCCCAGAGAATTCCCAGTACGATGTTCCAGCTTCCTCTTCTGAGCCTGCTCCCAGGACCTTGCACACAGTTTCCACCTGAGTGGTGGTGCCGCCCCATGCAGACAAGGGGATTAAAAGTGAGCACAGCGGGCTGGAGGGTTGGATGTGATTACAAGTGCTGCTTGCCCAGGTGGAGTGTAATTAGGGCTTTTCCATTCTGTGGGCCCTGGTCTCTCCAGGTGGGAACGAGAAAGCCAAGCCGGGTTTTCCCTCATGAAGTATAGCCTGCTTTTAAGATCATGCACCCAGTGGAAGGGGCAAAAATCATCCTGCCTATGCCTTTGGCTAATCTCCACCTGCAAGGGATCAAGAAGATGGATGAAGAGGAACTGTGTTTGTCTTCAGAGGGACTGCAGGTTTTACTGAACTACTGGGTACCTTGTCCTGCCAGCTGGACAGTGAGTTAATAGTACTGTGAGCTCCCTTAATGGCTGTGCTGTGCCAGCTTTGGTCTGCTTGCTGGGGCAGGCTTTACTCCTGCTGCTGGAGAGTCCTGCCAGTACCTCTGGCTCTCTTTCCCAGCCCTCTTTGCCTTGGTGCTGCTGCTGCCACTCACAGAAGAACCTTGGTGCCGCAAGAGTTCATAAAGGACTTCAGATTGCTGCTGGCACCAGATATGAGCAAGAGAAGTTAGTTTTGTAGTTGCTCGCTAGAGGCAAAGCCTGTCTTTAATGCTAGGCTGAGGGCCTTGGAAAATCGGTACTGGTAGGACCCTGTGAAGTCCTACCATGGCTTCATGGCAACCATGCTGTATTAAAGAACTGCTTATAGATGCTGAATTTTGGAGCTGCTGCTACACCCTCGGAATCCTGTCCTTGCTGGGTTTGGCATATCTCTGTCAGCAGCATGTCCTTAGGGAGAATATCCAGGTAGTGAACTCTCATCAGTGCAGGCACTGGCATTAGCCCCGCACCCTCCCCCAAAAGTGCTGTTATTAGCACCATCCTGGCACTGCAGTGCTTCAGAAAGGTACAAATGCTTTCCAGCTGACCTGGATCCATAGAAAATGAGGTGACAAGGTTAGCACCCCTGACCATGGACTGTCTGTGTCTTCTGCCTGCCTGCTACCACGGATTCATTCTGCAGTACCAACAGCACTGGACCATGACCAGTGCAGGCAGCAGGCTCCTGCCCTGGAAGAGCTGGCTTTCCTCCACAGCCTTGCCAGAATGCTTCTGCAGCACCTCCCAGGAGGCTGGGGTGCAAACGGCTGTACTTGAGATGCAGGGCAGGAAAAGCTGCCAAAGCCTTGAGCACAATTCCTTGAGTTGTTCAGAATTAGGTGTTGATCAGTTTTAGGTTCAAGTCACTCAGTGCCAGGGTTGTCCTTCTCCAGGGACCAGCTCTGGCTGTGAGATACACCAGCAGCAAATCAACAATCCTGGTCAGTAACTTCACAGTAGTAGAATTTATTGAGCCAGTTTTATAGATTAGTTTATTTTCAAGGCTGAAAAGATCATTACAGTGTTTGGGTTTGGGTATGTTACAGAGCAGTCCTCCTTAAGTTCCTTTGAAATACCTGTGCCATCCCAGCCTGGACTGGTGGCACGGTGAACTGTAGTGAGTGGAAAGGCTTGTTGTTTCCAGCAGTGTCTGCATGCTTCAGGGTTGGTTTTCACTTAGGAAACATTATGAAAGAGATTTTACAACAAAAACAATTCCTTCACCCAAGTGTGCTGGGTCTGTTTTATCCATTCCCGCTTTGTACAGCAGACAGGCCTCCTCATTAGCTGCTGTTTTCCACATGATTGCTTTTTTACAGGGAATGGCATGTTTTGGCTGGAGTTGTGCGTTCTCTCTGCAGGGCTAGTTCCTCCTGCCAGGCTGGCTGGTGTGACCCGTGTGGTAGGACCCTGGGGACCTCATGCTTGAGGGCACAGGGGCTGCAGGGATGGACATCTGCAGCTCTGATGCAGGTGGGGAGAGGCCTCCCCCCCATCCCAGCTCTGGGTGCTGACCAGAGGTGAAGAAGTCTCCCGGGAGAGTCCCCTTGCAAATCAGGAGCTTCTGGGCGTGTTGGGTACCATCCTGGGAGAGCTCCCAAGCCCCTGCTGCTTTGCAGGGCGCTACCCTGCACCATATCGCTGGGGAGCACTGGGCTTCACTGACCCATTCCTCTAGGGCTCCACAGGGCAGCAGGGACCGTGTCTTGACTCCAGGAGGTTTTGCTACAGCTGGCCCTGTATCTGCCTTCAGTGACTGCAACTCGACCACTCCTACACAGGAAATCTGGTGCCAGAGTGCAAAGACTCGCCAGAGGCCGGGGAGTGAACAACAGCAGAGCTTGGAGCACGATCCGCTGCCC